TTACTTGTCGCGTTTTGCCAGTCAACACTTTTTGCTACATCGACATTGCTGCGAGTTTGGGCCGCCAACGCCTCAGCCCTCAGCGGACGGCAGCATGTAGCTACCCCCAATAGGCCTTTACAGTCTCTGACCGCTCTCATAAAGTGGTAGCCGGAATGCAGCATATCAGGGGGAAGGAAAAATAATTAAAAAAGTAAAGCGCATAAAAGTAGAAAATAACAGGATTAATTATTTGAATAAACAAAAATTTGCGCGCAATAATTAGACTGAGACATACAACCAACAAGAAAGAAGAAGACACAATTATGCCCAAATGGATACAATCGTAGTCTCTATATCAACTATATCAACTCTGTATCAACAAGGCACGCCTACCGCTACGAAGTAGGTATACATTTTTGCGAAAAATAAGCTGTAATGGGCCCTGAATGTAACTGTCACCTATTAAACCCTTATAACTGTAGATATACAGTTTATAGAAAAGTAGGCAGGAAAATACCCTTTACTGTACTCGTTTGGTATTAAATCAGATCCGCTTTATACTTTATTCCAAAACTTTTAACCTTGAGATTTTTCGGACCGTACAATGTCAATGCAAATATTATCGTACCTATACGACAGCTGGAGACCGAAAAAACTTCCTGTTCTCCCGGTGTGTACTTGGCAGCCTGTGAACCAGCCACAATTGGAAACGTACTAGTTCCTCTATGGACAGACGGCTGTTGGCGATAGCACTTAGGCCTATGAACGCAAGTTCTGTCTCTTTAGATGACCTCGAGTGGATTACTTACTAATTTTCTTGGGAGGGACTTGTTGTGTTTGACCAGTGTTTAATCATCTTGCCTAAATTCCTATTCTTCACTCGCGCTAATTATAGGATAAAAGGCATTTTTCCCAATATTCCAGTCTGATACTGATATTTTCTGGCTTTTTTCTACGCAACCTGCTATTCGTATTTGCTATTAGGGTAGCCGTCTGTATGTTCGCATGACAGTCCACTCCGCTATCGCTAGTAAGGGGATCGATATAAAGATCTGCATAACGCACTACTGAAATATAACAAGTAGCCAAATTTACGCAAAGTTTTAGCCCCAAGTACCTAAGTGCATCAAGGGTTCCGCAAAAGACGTGCTAATCTGCCCTTTCTTCTTTGTAAGTTGCCTAAACGAAAACACGCAAGTGAAGACGAGTATCACCTATGTGAGACAGCCGGATGGGTCCTGTGAACGCCAGCAGAAGGTCTTCCGCCTGCCAATTGATTGCAAACTGCCCGCCAATTTGCAAATCCCTGGACGCGAGTACACCGTGCGTCTGTCAGCAAACGGCACAGTGGTCGAGCATGTTTTCGCCTGTGGTGCTTCCTGCCTGCGTAGAGTTCGCACCGCCAGCCTCTCCGGTCCTCGCAACTGCAGATGCGCTGTTCTCTGGCAGGAGAGCACACAGGCATGTTGTTGCCGCGATGTGCAAACCAAATCCCTGGCTGCGGTCGGCAGTGAGGCTGCTGCTGATGCATTCACTCAAACCTGGCGAGACTGCTCTGGTTCAAACGCAATGCTCGTTAAGCATCAGAAGCGTTTGCACCTGGAAAATGGAATCTGCCGGG